TTTTGGTTGTTACCCTGGGCGCGGGCCCCGGGGCGGGTTGGGGCGTCGGGAGTGCCCGGCTCTGGGGCTTCTCCGCGCTTGGTGGCGGGGGTGGGGCCGCTGCTATTGAAACCAAGGGACAGAAGAATCCGTTGGGGAGGGGGTTGCGATGACGTGTGTTCTGCACGGTGACGGGGCCTCCCGCCGCCGTTGGCGATTGGCCGGGGAGTGGGGGTGGGGCTACCGGCATGTTCTAGCTTGGCGGTGGCAGCGTCGCCAGGTGTTCAAAGACTTCACGGACATCAGGGCTGGAAGGGACCTCGGAAGATGATCGGGTCCAGCCCCCTGCCCCAGGGCGGGAAGTCAGCTGGGGTCAAGGGATCCCAGCAAGATAAATATCCAAATGTTTCTTGAAAGTATCCAGGGTAAGGACTTGCCCTGCCAAGGACCAGCGCCCAGGTGGTGGCAGCGGTACCTCGTAACGCCCCCTGCGGTGCACGCCACACTGCTCAACTGCTTTCCTTCGGCATTTGACTCCCAAGTGATATTGAACATCAACATTCCTTTATTGTATTGGAAGCTCAAAGTGATCGGGTTTGCTGACAGTGTGGTAGAGGCGACATCTTTTATTAGACCAACTTGGCAGTTGCAAACAAAATGTTTCTTTTTTTGCAAGCTTTTAGGCACACGCACACCCTTCCCCATACATAGGAGAAGGTAAAGTTTCTCCCAGGCAGAAATGGGAATTCATATAGTACAGGAGAGCTGGGGGGTGGTGTCAGTTCTCTGGCTGGAAAAGTTCATTTTAGCTCGGATAAAAGTTGGAGCAGTTTATTTTCCTCAAAGGTGTGTGATGGCAAGCAGGATGCTACATTATGCTTGTTAAGGTGCACCGATACATTGGTCCCATTGGAATGGCACTAATATAAGGAAGAAAACTGACTGTATTGGCAGTCAGCTTTTTTGGCCAATGTGGCTGATAAATGCGTACGTGCATAACCGCAGCATGCACAGGGCCCAGGAGTAAGTCTGGTGAGTTTGATAAGTCTGTTGTGAGGGAAGGGGCATGGGGGGCAGGGGGGGAACAGATCAAGACCCCCCACAGTGAGGGAGGGAATGGGGCTGGGGCAGGCGCTGCACTGCCAGGGCAGAGCGTGGGAAGGAGCTGTGGCTCGTCCAGGGAGCACAGTTGGGGGTGGTGGTTCCCACTGCTGCACGCACCCCAGGAGGCCATGGGGGGCATGTGCCCTCAGATCTGTGCATGGGGTGAGGGCAGGCTGTGGGCAGGGTAGTGCTGGGCTCTTCCCGGTGGGGGCTGGGCCGGGCTGTGCTCAGGGTGGGTGGCGGCATCACTGCGAGGCGGGGCTATGGGGGATACAGCGAATTCTGGGTTGGGTGCCTCCCTCCCAGCGCCACTGCCCTGAACGCGGGCCAGCCCCCTGCCTGGAAGAGTCCGGCACCTCCCCCAGCCCACAGAAGGCAGCCCACCCTTGCCCTTCATGGAGATCTGAGGCCACATGCCCCCCCATTCTTTCCTGGGGTGCACATAACAGTGAGAGCTGCTCTCCCCTCCTCCCCCATGCCCCCTGGATGAGCTTGAGCTCTGTCCCACACCCTGCCCCAGCTGTGCAGCTCCTTCCCCAGCCCCACTGTCTCCCTTACTGCAGGGGCCCACACCCCTTCCCTCCCTCCTCACCCCTTCCCCCACAACAGACTTACCAGCTGGACACTGTACAAATTGCCAGGCTGCATATTGGCTATCATATCAGTATTGGCCGATATGGCTCGTTAAAAATTGGCCATTCTTATCAGCCCAAAACATTTCTATCAGTGCACCCCTAACTGTTTTATCACTGCCTGAATAGGAATGCTGGTGTCATTGCCAGGCAGTTGGTTTTAAAGTTTGGGTAAAGCAGGATTCAAAGGGGAGTACAGCTGTACCTCTGTACCCCTCCTGAGTCTGTCCTTGTTTATTTGTGTGTATGTGTGTGTATATGTATGTACATACATAGCACAAGCTTTCCTGGGCTGAAGCTTGCTTCATCAGATGCTGTGAAAGGACGTGTAGAAAACAGTATAAGAAGGAGAGAGAAATTACACTGCAAAGACAAGAAAGGCAGGAAGAGGGTCAGTACTGGCAGAGGCAAGCAGTGTCTGGGAGCCAGTGCCCTTTGCACTGTTGTTTTCAGTTGACTTGGAGACTTGGGACTCAGGATTTCGCTGGTTAATGCAGTGATTCTCAACCCAGAGCCCATCTAGAGGTGCCCTGCAGTGTTAGCACTGTCATGTGTGCAAACATTTACACATGATTCACAAAGAGACCCAAAGATTTCAGTTAGGAATCCAGTGTCAAAATCATTCTGCCCTGCCATGGGCTTGCTGAGTTCTTTGCAACAGAAGAATTGGTCTAGTATTTTTTTCTATAGTAAAAAATGAGTGAAAGCTAAGAGCTGGCATCTTCTGAAGGCTGTTTCAAATCTAATGAGGTGTGCCTGGAGTCTGAAATTTTGAGACTTGGATTAATGTTGGTGCTGGGTTAATGCTGAGTTTACATTTGAGCAATGAGGGGCCACGGAATATGGGAGAAGCAAGGTTTCATAGTTTGTTTGGTTGTAGGTCTTGCTGGTCCACCTGTCTAGTTCAGAGAGATGTTAGACAAGCTTTTGGTCATAAAGTTTTCTCAGGTCTCCAGGCAGGGCATTTTGTAGTGGAAAGCTTATCTAACATCTCAACTAGTTAGTTGAACCAGTAACAGATATTACCAAATCTTGCCTTTCACTAAGTTTTGTAAGACAGCTCTGAATTATATCTATAGCCATGCACTGTGTGGGGCAGTGGTTATTGATCTGAACAGATCTGCTGACTGGGAAAG